CGCTCCGGGCGAATGGCTAACAACTCACAGACTAAAAATAATGGGTATGCTACTGGGTGGCAGTGCTGCAATTGAACACGTATTAATTCGTTAGGGAACCGGACCCTAGTTGTCAAAAGATCCGGTGATGTCATGGAGAGAAAGAGGCTTACGAGCACACCTTCTGGACCTACCTTGGCGCGCATGCCTGTGGGCAGAAACTTATATGCAACTAGACGGGTGATAGTTAGGACGTGGGCCATCTGCAGAAACTTCTACCGTATAGTGCCAGCGGGCAGCCGACGGCGCAATCCAAGGGGCTTTTCGACCGCATCGCGTGCGAGCGTCCTGACGAAGAATATACATATTCATCGGCCTCAGCCCGGCTATGGCGAATTCTATGCAGCGTCTGTCTTACTAGTATCGGGTGCAGCGCAATCGAGTTTCATTCCAACGGGACCAGAAAATCTCGAAGGGAGTGCCAAGTAAATTTGGCAAATCGGTATGCGGCATCGCCAAGTGGCCGCACAGCAGGAGTGCCGAAGGACTGACACGAAAACTTAAGGAGCGCAATTGCTATTGTATCATTGATAAGAAGCCAGACAACCAAGTGGAGTCTTCTCTACGGGTGGCGGACGAGTCCCATGCACCACCAAACTCGCCTGAGAAAACGGCTTTGCTGACCAGGCTTGAGACACATTATACACCCTGCAATCATAAATCAATTAATCAGACACGTCTGCATCTCGCTCACGATCAAATCTAGACTCGATGGACTCTATTAAATTGCATCATATGTACGCTCTACGATTAAAGTTGCTGAAATTTATATTTGTGCTGAAATAAAGAAAGGGTTACATTGCGGCGCCAAACATGGCAAAAACTGACCTGCTGCGATTCCAGCTCACGATCCGTTACGGGTGAGGACCACTTGAAACATTCATCAGCTTGTTGTCTCCCAGTCGATCATACATCTCGCTTTTCTTTACGAACATACGGACATAGAGCGATTTCGTTTTCTAACATAGCACAATCGGCACCAAATACAGCATGAACTGACCTGCTGCTGCTTCTCGATTACACCAAACGGCACTGTGTCACAACGAAGTCCGCAAGATCACGATCTAGTCAACTCCGTGCAACCTCGCTCGCACGCAGTGTGATCCCTGCGAGTGGACACAATTTAATAAGTGAACGAACCGTTGGTGAAAGCGGAGTGTACGCAACCATGGTAGGGTCTCAACATCCCCCTGTGATAGACTGCCTGTCGTATCTTGTACCTCCAGTTTACAATCGAACATAAGCAGTGATGTTGGTTCGTGCTCTGGATCCCCTTCATCGCCCAGACACAAAAATGTTTTTTCTGCGTGAGTGTAGTCGTCACGCGACATGGTAAAACATTGACGATGGAGTTTGGTGCGGTGTGAAAAGCATTTTAGCGGCGGGAGGGATGTGACGTCGTGGGCGTGATTTTGTCGTCGCATAGAGTATAAATGTATTGAGCACGAGTGCTTAAGCGGATGGGTGCGCGTATTGTCCGATGCCCCTGATAGTAAACGCGAAACGTGCCTCCAGCCTATAAGCGCTTCTCGACACCACAGAGACGGCCTGCCCAAGCACGGTCTATGTGTTGAGCTTGTACAGTCTGCTGGAGACGTCGGTTAAAAGCTCGTTTTCAGATCTGGGTGGAATACAGATTAGTTGGTCGTGTTGCGCAACATGCGAGGTTGAGAGCTAATCTTGAGGGTAGATATAGGAGGGCGCAGATCGGCTCACCTGTTAACGAACTTTTAAAATGTCAATTCGGTACATGCGTTTCTTTTGGCAATTGGGGGGTGCGCTGATCGAAGAATGTCGTTGAGGGCGTAGTTAAAGTGAAGGGGTGCTGATGCTGTGTGGTGTTATGAGCTTGAAAATATCCACACAAACGTTCTGGTGTGGTGAAAGGGAAAGGTTAAATGTACCGGTCGCGAGTGGGTCACTGTATCGGCGAATTGTTTTCGCCAATAAAAACGACTTTCCGATCATAATCTGCTATACTTAATCTAATTCTGATGATACCATCCTGATTTGAGATACCTATCCTACTTCGAATTCATAATGGTATTTGCTGTATTGGCGATTGCTGGAAAGCGGCGAGCAACGAAGGTCGAGGTCATGGAAGCGATGCATAGAGCGGCGATTGGACACACGCTATAATTTCTGATATAGTTTGGCTCTGTTACTGTGGTATTATTTTTGCATAGAACGCAGCACTTGTTTAAGGCATGTGTGTGCATGCCCATGAACATTTATGTATGTCGCGTTGCTTTCTGTCCAGGATAACGTCAGTCAGAGTCCACCAACACGGAAGATAATCTAAACGACGATCCTTTGGCATACACCGACGCTGGTTGCCTAAATCTGACTACGTTGACGGGTTCGGTGTCGTTGTTGTTGTCGTGATCATCGTGAGTGATGTTTTTCTGACGATATTGTTGCTGGCTGCATCATTGGCAACCCGTGCTGTACTGAAACGTGTTGCAAGAACTTTTTGACTAGCTATGATAATGATGCTGCTAGCAATACATTCACCATGATGCCGATACAGCCATTTCTGCTTACAGAGAAACGCTAGTTGTGTGGCATGGATTTGTAGGCATGAGACAATTGTAGTGTTCCTCTCGAGAGGGTTACCTCGTATGAATATCCACTTCATATTGGTTTTGTCGAAGCTTATCGAATCGTTGTGCTCTATGAACCTCCGCTTTGTAGCTCATTGCATTCCTGTGATCGCCATAAAAGCGAATACAATTATAAATTTGAAGTAGGGTATGCCTCTCAAAATTATGATGGGAGCGTCAGAATCAGATTGGGCATAGCAGATTAAAAACAATTCATGTCTGATTGGCCAAAACGAGTCGTCGGTACGATGACCCACTCTCGACCGGTACGTTTAACAATTTTCGTGGTGAAAATAACGATTCCCTTAGCTTATGATTTATGACATAGCGGCCCTTATGATTACAACACAGAGACCGTGGAACGACCTCAGTGGACACATGATCTGATATCATACCAAGGATAAAAACATATCGGAGGATGACTTATCAGGAAAAGATTTGCACTTCGGACTCGTGGCTGGGGCCAATGAAAGAACGAAGATATGATCTTGCACACTTAGACACCGGTGGCACACGTCATGAGCGGGTAGTGGGCACTGGCACGCGCCCACACTTGCATTAGTAGTGATAAACCGTAGAATATAAAGAAAGTACTAGAAAATACATGTTGCCCTCACGGATCCTGCTCTGCATCAACTTCGCTTTTGGTCATTAACACACTGGTCTCTTTCGAAACACCCCTATGACCCTCAACATCGTCAAGGCCCAGATACTGAAGCTTAACAGCATCGGGTACAAGAGGACGTTTTTAATCGACTTGTCGTAATCAAATAGTTGAGCGGCATCCGCTTCCACTCTGTTCGCAGTTGTTTGGAGCCATGCACGCACCAACAGCGGTCGGTCTTGACGAGGTCGAAATGATTTGAATAAAGCGGCAGCTCAAGCATATTTCGTAGCCGCCAACTCCAGGATCGATCCGGTCTGGACACGCCGTCAGTACAGCGCAGTGCGATCGGGTTATCGTTGGTTCGGTTTGAAGCTCATGCCTCCGAAAGTCTGACATCTTAGTATTACTAAACCAAATCCTGCAACGTGACTTCGCAGAGGTTGTAAAGCGCCTCGAAAGCAAAATGTAATGTCCAGTTCTGTTAGTGATCTGTTGTCCAGGGGGCGTCAGGACGCACTACTACGGAGTTGATTTGTTGCGCCAACATCGCTCAACAAGCATCGAAAAGACAGAGAATGACTATCCGTCATCGATATTGATGATCGAGCTATGCTTGTAGTCATGACAATTTGTGAAGAGCCACAAAGGGCGTTTCGCTTTGGATCAGAGCTTCCAGGCTGCTGATTGTGTCGTAAATTAAGCCGTCGGTCCTCAGGTTTGACAGTGATACGACATGTGCTTGGTAAGCGGTAAGCATCGAAAACAGTATTGCTGCACAAGGCCTGGAAGTTGTGACTTCGCTGCCTTAACTACCGTCCGACATGACCTACGATTGTCAGTTGAAAAGCTTTTACAAGAGATGATTAAATAATGAGCCGAAATTGTCACTAGCTCGCACGATGATGACTTTTTAGAAGTCGGAATACGATTCAGCTGGAATTTATTCAATGAAATTGTCACGTTACAAACTCCGCGTCAGCGGAGAAGCTACTTGATTTGGTATCACTTCTAAATTTACGATGCCTATACCAGTAGGCCAAGTGTGTTCTTCTCGAAAGGCGTCATTAAGTCAGGGTCCGAGCACAAAAAATCATTGACGATCCCGATGAGCCGTTCGGTCGTGCTAATAAGCCAGATAAGTAGGTGCGTATGGTCCGCCCAGACTTCCATAATGCAATCGCACTTTCCCAACGCGTCGTCATTAAAGTGACGTCCACGCCCTCCCGATTCAGTATGTGGATGCCATCAGCTTGAAGTCCAAATCAGAGACACACAAATAGGACCCCTCGATCATAGCGTCAGTGGATAGTACCCACCCTAGTCGTCCTTGATCTTCCGCCTTCTTTCCGCCCCGTCCTCTCTCTCCATTCCTATCACACGTCAATTGGATGGAGTTCCAGATGTCACCTGCGGGAAGCTGCCATCGACAAATATTTCTGACGTGCAGATCAATTCCTATTCCGACGGCGAGATATTTGGTTTACTGGTGAGGAAGGAGTCGATTTAACTTGAACCGGCGCCGTCGTCGGAAAAAAACCCACAGTAGCAGGACTAGACTGTCTTCACATGGGTTCGCCGACGGCGAAACGTCGTCGGCGAACCATCGGCAGTACCTCTTGGCTTCCGGGATCAATGGCCATCAAGCGACGCTTCTGAATGGAGACTTTGGATTCTCTTTAACGAAGAGCACTTGCGACCACGAGGCTCATTCCTGAATTTGCTGACTCAAGTACTTCCAAGGTACTACTGTCATGGCCGGTGTCGATTCCCCAGTAAGCAAGCGACCGCTAATCGCCGAGGTTCGCAAACAAGACGACGCAGTTAAGATTCCAGTCACCCTCTTGTCGGGTTTCCTTGGTACTGGCAAGACCACGTTGCTGCAGCACATTTTAAAGAACAAGGAGCATGCCCTGCGGGTGGCCGTCATTGTCAATGATATGGGAGAGCTCAACATCGATGCCAACCTCGTCGCATCAACTGGTGTTCTGCAGCGCAAGGAGCAGCTCGTCCGACTTGAAAACGGATGCATCTGCTGCACTCTCCGCGTGGACCTCCTCGAGCAAATTGCTCGCATCGCCCAAGAGGGCGAAGTCGACTACATTGTCATTGAGAGTTCTGGGATCAGCGAACCGATGCAAGTAGCTGAGACCTTTGAATTCGAGCTGCCAGAAGGTGCCGAAGAGATGAAGCCGGATCCGTTGCTATCTCCCAGCAGCTCGAAACGGTCTCGAACCGACTCAGGTGCTTCGTCGGGGGATGATGCCAGTGCCGCGGTAGCATCTACGCCGTCAACTTCAGTCGGGATTCCAACCGTCCAACTTGATGAACTTCTCGTTCGCGATGGCAAGAAGCTGCCGTTGCTGCGGGACATTGCACAGCTGGACACGTGTGTGACCGTTGTCGATGCTGCTACTTTCTTCCATGTGTTCGACGATCCACGTATGCTCGCGGACGTGGAAGCGAACCGGGAACAGCTCCCGGAAGGTGACACCCGCACTATCACCGATCTTCTGATCGACCAGATTGAGTTCGCCGATATCATTCTGGTCAACAAGACGGATTTGGTCCCTGCTAAGGATGTTGAAGCTATCGAGAAGGTCCTTCGTCGACTCAATTCGTACGCAAAGATTGAGCGAACGGTCAAGAGCCGAGTTGATCCAAAGACTATCCTCGGTACGAAGCTGTTTTCTTTTGAACGCGCCTCGAGTCAAACGGGGTGGCTGGAGTCGCTCACGGTACCGCATACCCCCGAAACGGTCGAGTACGGGATCGGATCGTTCCTGTACAAAGCAGACCGACCGTTTCACCCTGCCAGGTTGACGGGCATTCTACAGGACGAATTCGTCATTGTGGAAGCTCCTACACTTCCTCCTTTCCCCTCAGACGATGACGACGACGACGGTCATGGTCATGGTCATGAAGAAGAAGCAGAGGAAGAAGAAGAGGAGGAGGCAGAAGAGGCAAAGGATGAAGAGATGGATCCTGAAGATGACGGGGAACCTCTGGGCGAGCAAGAGATTGCAAAGCGATTGGAAGGCAAGAAAAACGGATTGTTCAAGAACCTCTTGCGTAGTAAGGGCGTCTTCTGGCTCGGCACTCGATCCTTCAACTATGCTACCTGGTCACAGGCAGGTTTGTACTGCACGCTTTCCAATGGCGGTATGTGGATTGCTGCTCTGCCTGAAGAGGAGCGCACGCGCACGATGAAGGAACTGCCTAACTACAAAGAGCTTATGGCCCGTGAGCACGGCGATCGTGGCCAAGAACTCGTTTTCATCGGTCGGTTCTCGCAAGATGACAATGAAATCGCCAACATTCGCGCGGCTTTGGACTCGTGTCTTCTGACAGACGAAGAGATGAAGCAGTACGTTGCAGGCGATGTAGAGGAATGGGAAGACCCATTTGAGCCGTGGGAGTATTACACGTTTGAGGATTGAGCGTCCAGCGCTATTGTTATGGATGAGTTTGAACGGTATAAAATGCTTAGGGTGTGCTCAGCACTCAATTACAAGTAGATAGCAGTGAAGAATGTCGAGTACTCTGTTGAACTTAAATGAAAAGAAGTTCATTGCCATCATGTGCTGGATGTAAACCTCATTGGGCGATTTCATCCTAACCTTTTTCAGCTCAATTTAGTATTGTGTCAAGCCGACGTGACTACATTGGGTCTTTCATGTTTGGGCTGGGTGCAAGATACTACTGATAACCCGAACCAATCGAGAGATGCTTTTGCGGTAAGCTTACTTCGACAGCGTTGCCAAGGCGCTGTGAAAGACTGTATTCTCAGACAGTGTCATCGGGTGAGCGGGTCTAGATTGGCACAAATACAAAGCGTTGTAGAAATGTTCATCCTCGGTGACAGCGTTCTTGTAAAAAGCAGCGATTCCAGATACAATGATAATGCGTTGTCGAGACGGAGAGCGCCTTGGGTTGGCGGCACCAGAATCTCAATAACTCCATCGAGTAAAGGTGAGCGTATGCCAAGATACCAGACAGTGGTCTAGAACACCTGCGTGCGCTATGGCCAGAACTTGTATAAGATCGATGAGCCTATTCCAACATTTGAACGCTTATGGAAGGCTGTCGACAAAGCATGTGGTCGTGGACACAAATTTGGCTCTATCGTTTCATACGCTCAATGATGTACTCGTCAACACGACAATTGTCCGTTTTTCGTGCCTTTTTCCACAGAGGGAACAGAACTGAGCATAGAAACTCGCTTGTCTGGTCTTTTCATGAATAATGTCCACGCTTACTGCGTTGCCACTGACTCGGTATACTCTCGCTTGAAGCAAACAAAGTGGTAGCTTCCAGTCCTTTTTAACTGTACTGCACACGCTAGTGTAATATGACTGGAGACGACACGCACATATTGATCAGTAAGTGTCTCTCGTGAAGGTCAACGTGTGATTTCGTGAGACTGACAGACGTGAAACTTCCGCAGTTTGTTGCCAATTGGCTTAGTGACGATTCTGTAGGCTCAAGATCGAATACATGATTGGAGCGAACGTAAATACGACAGCTTCTTGCTTTGATGACGCACAGTCTGCATATGATACTCTAGTGCGATGCAAAGCGCTTCCATCATCTAAGTTTGATCGCACGGATGTATACATTTATCGTCAACATGACTGCTTGTGTCCCACAAATCTGCTTCACTTCTGTTCATGAGGCGGTGCATGCATTTTCATACTTGAATTGGGCACATGTGTACTGGTTTTTAGCGGTAGTGATGATTCATGCCAGTCGAATGCCCGCAAAGTTATCGATTGCACCGACATCTGCTTTATACTCTGGAAGTTGGCGCTCAAGATGAAGTGCACTTACCTGAAATGCCCATACGTGTTGCACATTCTCGCTGGTAGTAGCTTTCTGGATATGCAAGTGAATAAGTGTATAGCAAAAAGTAACAACGCCCCGAGACGACGTTGACTCACACGTGCCAGCTGTCGACATGATCAACATCAGTGAGCATGGTATGTGTGTGCTCATTGTTACAAGCACTTGATTGTTATCCTCGCTTGTTCAACCAGACAGCCTGTCGAAACATACAATGACAACGTCAACACGGGCTTTTTACAATGCACGTAGCAGCGGAGACTGACCATGATGCCAGCCAACAACTTGAGCTGCGCTTGACGTCGTGCGAGTGCTATTCAGCGTTTAACAAGAGCATATGCTACTGTACGTGATGTTTCGACACTCTAGTTTTTAAATCCGACGACATTGCAAATGCAGTCTCTGCATGCAAGAAGTAAAGACGACATGTAACACATGTGCTTTTAAATTGTAAAAGTACCTTCACGTTATCACACGAGCAGTGCCAGGAGCTACCTTCGCATGATCATGCAATGGTTCTCATTTCCCGATTGGACGCTTGCCTTTGTGGCTTGCACCTTCGTATGACAAGTGTGGTCGGCAAACCTGTTAAATCGTTTGTGTTACGATCACCTCCAATAACAGTCCACTACTTCTAGGTCACCGTGCTGGCATGCAATTCTCATGCTATGTTATTTTGCACTGGTAATCGACGTTGTTGTGTCGTTCTATCGACAGTCGCTGGTTTCTGAGATTACCTGAATCGGTCCATCTTTGTGTTCATTTTGAAGTACCTACAAGAGCCATATGATGCACAGCGGCAACAAGATCTACCGTAAAAGTCTCATGATTCTGTACATTTTACACTGCCCACGAGTTGCAACAGCCATGTACAGCACATGCGTAAGGCTGTGCCGTCGTTGTTAGTAACTCCGGACAGGAAGGTAAGGACAATGGGCGAGTACGCTGCAGACAGCATTTTGTGTCAATAAGAGTTCGTAGCAGTGTCCCTCGTCAAAGAATTGACTAAGGAAACTATTTTGCATGCATGCCAAGTCGGTACTGAGTGTATTTCTATGATGCTATTGATCTTTCCCCTCTTAGTCAAAACAACGCGATAAGATGTCCTTGTTTGGCTAATGAACTTGCCACGATTGAAACGACGTCCTGTCGTTCGTACGTCCGATCTGGATCATTTTAGCTAGAACTGGGCGATGCTCGACTTCGTCTTAGATTTGATCTGAGTAACGTCGATGCGTCTGGTCTAATCCGTCATTTGCGTGTGTACTACCAAGAGCCTGCCAGCATCCGTAGTATGATGTTGGTAGTCTGAATGCCATGGCTCCGTTACAGTGCATTTGTTCATACATGCCATGTGCTGGAAGCGTGGTTACAATATATAAATCTATTCCTCTTCATAAGCGGAGGTTCACCAGCTTCATTCAGGAATCGAACGGAAGCTAATTAATCGTCTTTAAGGTTGAGGTGCTAGAGCGAAATCCCATTTTGCTGTGCAGTCCATCCTGTGAGTGAGTGAGAAGGTGAGGCATATTTAGGTACGCGTACGACCTGCTATATCCTGTCATCCGGCAACAAAGTTACCTAATCGACCGCTACTTTATATACTAGGTAGCGCTAGTCCTCGCACAGCAGAGCGCCTACGCGCAGACTCCTGTCTCGAGATAATCAGGTTCCTCGAGGTCAGCCCGGGGCCCTGTATGACGAGTTGATGGTCGGCTTGAGAGGTCTCCAACCAATGATTGACATCAGTGTCAAGGAAGTTTGAAGCCTCCTGGACCAGACCTGGGTTCGAGATAGCGTGCGTTTGTATAGAAGATCCCGTGTCCATAGCGATATTTGCCAGTCGATCCGCCATTTTGTTGAAGGTGCGGTATTGATGTCCCCAGCTGGCGACATCAATATCGTTAGCGATGGCACGTGCTTCGTTGAATAAACGCACCAAGTGCGGCTTGCGTGGAGGGTGTTGTGTTCGGAGTTGAGAAAGTACAAGCGCACTGTCCCCAATGACGTGCAGGGGTGAGTAGTCGCCTGTCTTTGCTTGCCGAAGACCATGCACGAGCCCCCAATATTCAGCGACATTGTTAGTGGTATCGGCAGATGCATAAGCCATACTTGATACCCACAGAACGCATGCGGCGTGAGTCGGAACGTGTAGTCGTACAATCACAGACCCGGCTCCACCTGGACCTGGATTTCCGCGGGACCCGCCGTCAAAGAAGAGGAGGTAAAGCTCGCCAGGGAGCCGGTCGATAGGCCGGACTAGTAACGAAGGAGGTTCATCGTAGCAGAGTAGGGTATCAGCCAAGGCCGACCGTACCTGCGCAAACAGTTGCCCATCTTCCCCCATCTCGGGCTGATAGGTTGATCGCCGAAACCGTCTGACCGACCGACGAAAGCTCGTCTTGGCGCTGGCTATGTGCACCTCCTGTGATAACGACGAGTCTTCCATGCGGCGGAGGCGCTCGACCCAGATTGCATGAAGGGTCGTTGATACGACAAAACGCCACAGCTCTCTAGCTGCCGGAAATATAGCAGCCTGAGCTTTTGATAAATTAGTGCCTGGGTCCATGGATTGCTTAATTACATCCCAGGCGTAGGGTGGAATCGCCGGGAGGTCCAGGCCAAACACCCAAACATTCAATTCAGCCTCCTGGAAAGTTCCAAGCCATCGCCACCGATCAAGGAGAAACTCCCAGTGACGACGCGCACTAGAGCATGTCCAAAAGATATGGCTTGCCAGAGCTGGACCAGCATTCGCACACTCAGGGACCGGGCAAGACAGATCTTGCTTCGCCCAATTCCAGAGCGGAAAACTGTTACGCTTTAGCCTATACAGCGTCTGAGCGTTTGTCGGAAAGGACGCTCGTATTCGTCGAATGTCCCTCCAAGTAATCAATGTTGTACCTTCCGAGATCACGTGAAAGTCCGTCGTTGCCACACGTTCATCAAGAAGTCTAGTCCCTACAGCACGGCGCCGCCGGGTGATAATCTGTTTCAGTTTACGTCGTTGCGGCCGCCACCTTCGTCGTCCAGCCCACATGTGGACAACGCGAGTAAGCGCCGGATGCGCTCCAAAGTGAACAGGAGACTTACTAGCTGTTGACGCGGCTATATCGCATGCCGCCATCGACGCGACCGGTTGCACTCCACATTCCATGCCCGTATCGAAATGTCTGAGCGACTTACCGTCACCAGTTAGAAGCCAGTCATGGAACTGGTGCACCTTTGTAGAGTATGCAATCACAGACCCAGGCTCCAGTGGTCGATATACCAGTGACGGGAAATTGTAAAGCAGCGCGAGGCAGAAGGACCCAAAATGCCGTCGCTTTGCCATAGACTGGGACGTCATGTCACGCGTAGGAGAGAACAAGACCATGCCACTCTGCAGGTCGTCCACGTCATTGTCTCGCCAAGGTAATTCAAGTTTCGCGCAAAGTCGGCCCCGTTCAAGCTGTATGCCTTACCCTGTCGATCTCTGAGCCACGACATATCCTTAAGCGTGGCGTATGCCAGCCACCGGTGGTCAAATCGCCCTGATGCTGCTACATCAGCTCGCATCCCAACGCGCAATCTGTCATCAATAACCCGCCGAACATCAATTGTGACACTACCGTCTTCATTATAGGCGACTGCTGCTCTCGACGTAAACGACAAGGCTAGTCTACAGACCTCGCTGACCGCACCTTGGCGTGCATGTTGAGCCGTAGAAAGTCCAACAATTTCAGACCCGGTTAGCCAAAGCGTTGCGCGATATCGAGGGAGCTTGTCTTCCGTCCAACAAGGCGTAATGTAAGCCGTACCCGACCCGGTAGATCCCCATAAGAAGTCACCAATTAGTAAGTCTCTCGAAGAGACAGTAGCAGCCCATTGTCCAACTGCTGTTGCCGCCATCGTCATCAATTCCGTCCGAATACAGGGAAGCGCTAGTCCTCCCTGCTGGATGGGTAAGGCCGCTATCTCGGAAGATACCCAGGGTCTGGATCGCTTTCTATCTCGGACACCCCATACAAAGTCCATTATTAAGCTGTGCAACCGGGTAACCACTGCGGGAGGAGGCCAACAGTGCCGTGCTAAGAAGTTAATTTTGGGCACCGCGATAGCACTAGCTAGCAGAGCACGTTGTTCCACTGTGTGCGTCTTATCGCGAGCTAAGACAAGTCGGCTCCATATAGAACGTATGCACTTATTCCAGTTATCGGCCACCGCATCCTGTTGTCCCACAAATACACCAAGATACCTGCAAGAGTCACTAGGGGCCTGCAGAGTGAGACCACAGGTGCTAAAAGGTTGCTCTGATCCGCGAGGGTCCAGCTCAATGATCATTGATTTCGACCGATTCGTCCGGAGACCCGACACATGAGCAAATTCCTCTAGAATAGCTACAACAGGCGTAACCGAGGACCGATCGCGAAGGTAGACAGCAGTATCGTCAGCGTATCCCGATACTTTGAACTCTGTAGCCCGCCCTCCAGTGGAGATAGGCACCCCCCGAATGTCCTCCCTCGCTTGTAGCACCCGATAGACACTATCGAGGGCTAAAATAAAGAGAAGTGGCGCAAGGGGACATCCTTGCCGTATTCCACAAGTAACGTCACGTCGACGAGAGCGGTATCCATTCACAAGAAATCGGCAGGTAGTGTCGTGGTGTAATGCTGCCACGACTGATACGAAATGAGGCGAAAACCCAAGCCATGTCAGAGCGGAAAGCAGATATGGACGTTGCAACGTGTCGTAAGCCTTGGCAAAATCGAGAAGTAGCACAATGGCTCCATGTAGGCTGCTGTCCAAAGTCGCAGCTTTGCGTACCGTCGCGAAAATGTCAAGAGCTGTATGGATCGACCTCTTTGGAACAAAACCAACTTGAGCCGGCAAAACGAGATGCGACAATAATGGCCGTACCCGAAACGAAAGAATCTTGGTAAATAACTTGTAGTCGCTGTTAAGGAGAGCAATCGGGCGATGATCGAGCGGCAAGGCGGAGGACGCAGATTTCTTCAAACACTGAATGTTCGCTTCACCGAAGGAAGACGGGAACACGCTGCACGTAAGCCATCTGGTGTAGAATGTAGCGAGTACTGGACTGAGCGCTTCCGCGTAATCTCTGTAAAATGTGTTGTTAATTTCGTCCGGTCCCGCGGCTTTCCCATGTTTCAGCCTCTTTAAAGCCGCACTCACGTCATCGGGGGAAACGGCCGACATCACAGTAGTGTCATCAACTGGTCCTGGCGGGACTGCCCGGGAAAGAAAAGTGGCGGTAGCGTCGGGACAGGCAAAGGAATGAGTCATAATACGCTCCCAGCCATCCGCCATTTCATCAGCCAGCTCTTGAGAATGATTTGGCCCGTATGCAGCCTTTCCGCCCAAAGAAACAATGGTGTTGTCTTGAAATTTAGTCGCCACCCGGGCGAAAAAACGTCGAGATGTTTCTCCAGGAGTATACGTGTGTTGAACAAGAAGGCGCTCTTTTTTGGATCTCTGCCATAAGCGTCGACACTCCGCAACATTACGCCGCAGTCCAACCGGAGTATCGGTGGTGCTAGGCTTGTTGCAGTCCTTATGAGCTCCTGGTGGTGAGTTATCAAGTGTACGCGCCACCAATAGAGCTGCGTCCAGTCTTACATAGAGCCGACGGAGCCGCTGCCGATAGCTTGTTGTCATACCTTGACGCGCGGTCTTGGTCGTCGCCAAAAGAACTTTGCGAAGCCTGATCTTCCATTCATCCCACCAGTCGGCCAATCTACGGGCCGTGATATAGTCCGACGGCGGAACAGAAAGAGTCTCGTCCGCTTTAAGCTGTGCCAGCTTAATGGCCGCAACAATTGCTTTATGCGCGGCTGTGTTTGCACAACCTGGAACAGGGTACACGTGCCTCGGCTTACGTACACGGACCACATAACGCGGCACTCCAATCCTGATACTGATGCCATTGTGGTCAGCTGCTGGACCAGGAACTGACAAAGCAACGCCACGAATCCAATCAGCATGGCGAGAGCTCACATACCACCGATCCAGTCGGGAACTAGCCAATCCACCGCCCGGAAGAGTGTAGAAATAAGTGTGAGAGGCCGCATGAAACGCCGGTACATCTCTTTCTTCTTCGGCCATCTCCAGATCACCATCAAGAACATCGCTAAGCTGCACTCGGCCGAGAAGCCGCCGAAGCGCCAAGGAATCATGTCTTCCTGGCGGCGAGACAAAAGAACGGTCAAGTCGCGGCTCCAAAGTACAGTTGAAGTCCCCTCCAACAAACATGGGTCCTTCGTATCCCTGAAGAATAAGTAGAAGGCTCGAGAACAGCGCCTCTCTTTCAGTCTTGGTACTTGGGGCGTAAACGTTTACAACAAGAACTGTTTCGCCCATTAGACAGACCCGGACAGCCATCCAATGCTGTGTCCATTGATCCTCATACCACGGAACCATTATCGTAATTGTTGAGTATGGGTTTAATAAAATAGCCACACCTCCACGAGAGAACTCGGACTCGGTCCACAACGAGTGTCCGAGTTTGTGCACGAATCCCCAGGAGGAGTTGTAAAGCTTGTCCAGAGGAGCTGCCTCACCTAAAGTGACCCGCGTTTCCTGTAAAAGGACTAAATCGATGATTCCCCTGGCTTCGCTCTGTCGGAAGTGGCTGAACCAAGTTGCGCAATGTTCCGGATTCTTGGGAAATCCTGCGACATTCTGCGAATGGATACCTATGCTGTTGTCGCGTGGAATACATGAGGTCTTAAAAAGGCGTCTTTGACGACGTTGTGGCATGTGCCGCGACGATGCATCCTCTAGCTCAGCCGAGACGCCCTCAGCACCTAGAGTCCAGCAGTTGACCATCTTTAGCGATAAGGTCAAGGGCCGGCTGCCAGTTGGCAGGTTTGCATATAATGCTAATCACCGCCGCGCGCACCTCTTTGGAGAGGTGATATAGTACAGCCTTGGTTTGCGGCATTACCACGTTCGTCTTAACCTCAATAGGTGCGAGCTTCGGGAGCAATAAACACAGAACATTGAGGACTCCCCACTGATCCAAGTCAGAAAGCGGTTCGACGACAGTCGCGCACAGCAAATCGGGCTGTAGCTTACTAAAGCGTCTCCAGCGTTGTATATTGTCCGTCGTTCTCCATCGAATATGACCGGTTTGCGCGTCTGCCGTGGCGGCCCAACCCTTGCACAGCTCGCGAAGTTCTTCATCTGCGTGTGTGGTGTGTCGCCGAATTACAGCCAGTTGAGATTCACTGTTGATGGAATGTCCAAAAGACCGTAGGGTTTCACCCGACATCGAGGCAAGGTAAGCAACAGGATAAGGTAGTCCACAGACGAGTCCCGCCAAGTCCAAGGAGCACGCGTTTATCCAGGCCATTTGTCCCTTAGGTCCAACTGGCATTGTAGTCGGTAGTGCAGCCATCGCTTTGTGCAGGCTAACCCATTTGCGAATCGCCGCTGTGTTCAATGAAATTTGTTTCATGCTCTCCGGCACTGCAGCAGCCGCCACCGCAGCAGATGCGCTATCTGGAATTTTGCGAATCCTTGTTGCGCGTAAAGTCTGATCGTGAGGATCGGGAGCGCGACATTGTTCCATCGGGGACCGGACCGCTACCTGCGTACAGAGACCACCCATGCTAGCGGTAGGACGTGTTAATAAACTAGAGGCACCCGTGTCGGAAACGTCGATAACTCCAGACGAGGCCTTAAGCTCTTCCTCAATTGCCTTGGCTAGATCCGCTGGAATAGGTACACTAGCGGCACAGGGAGGCGGAGTAACTGCCCCTCCATTCAAATCATTCAAGCACATAGTGTTCCCGAACGTAACCGTGCTCTCCGCCATAGTAACATCGAGATCTTGGGGACGCTGCCCTTCCGATTCTGGGGGGCACATCGGCGGTAGATCCGGTGGACCCGGATCACGAGGCGCCTTCGCGGTAGGTACCGTACCAAGAGGTTTATCGAACGGCTCACTTGGTACACCCCGTTTGCGGCGCACATACGAAGCCAACAAGCGTTGTATCATGGACCGACTCTGCTCTCTACTTCTTGCTGTGCCATCTCCGTAGGCATCTCGCAAGGTGGTGTATCATCTTGCGGGGCCGTATCTTCGGTCACAGGCTTCGGTTTCGGTGTAATCTTTGCCAACCGACGTGTCAGTGTTTCGAGGGTTTTCGCTGCTATCGTTGCATCCGCATTCGCTCGGTTCGCCGTCGCACCTGCGGTGCGGTATTCGTACTCCATCCTCAGCAATTCCTCACTGACTTCTTCAGGAGAAGAAGGTTCTCTATTACTCGTTTTCTCAGTAGCAATAGCCACTTCGAGTGCCTGAGCGTGAGCCGCAAAGTAGCATGATTTCGTGGTGTCTGCCGCGCGCTGCTTCTCTTCGGCTGCTAAATTAAGTTCCTCGACCGTTTTTGTGCGGTTGCTACTTGCGATCGAACGGCCTCAAGGGTCGCCTCTTTTAAATTCGTCGAAGGCAGCGCCGAATCGACCCCCGGATCAATCGGTGCAGGTTCTGCAACTTCCTCATGAGCACCACTCAATATGTGGTCCAGTTCCCGAATCGCCAGCGTGCGCTGGGTGTCCGCCTTCGAAGAAGCGGAGGGTGGTGGCGAAGAATGGACCGTGGTCGATTGCCCTTTTGACGAACAGTTGCCTTAGTCTGTTGAGGTGGTTTCTTTTTGTCAGCGACCGTGTTCGTGGAAATAGTTTGGGCAACAGCCTTCGACTTCGGGAGTGGTGACTTTCTTGCACCTCCATCTTTGTTGAACTGCGGATGCTTGGGTAGCTTCACAGCAGGTCCTGTTGCCCGACTAGCCGGAACATCTGCGGGGCGCACATCCCTCTTTTTCTTGTTCGCTCCAGGATCGAACCACTCGTTCGTCATTGGACCACTGACGCGAGTAGCCCCGCCCCGAACGGCCTGTCCACCGGCAAGCGGAGACGTGTTCGGAACTGACGACTGCCCAGCACAAGGAGGTACCTGCGAGACCTCACTTAACAGTGGGGCCTTGTTGCCATCAGCCTTTAATTTCGCCGTGGTTGCCACCAAAGTATCCGCCAGTCCAGAGACATGCTGCAGGCGACCGGCAACGTCCAAGTGGTTAAAAGTCAACCCACTGACGTGAGGAGGAGCTATTGGAATACCAGTAAATTCTCGGTGATGCTGAATTTGAAAAGCGCCTTTGCGTCCACCACACTTAGCACTCGAGTGATATGGCGAATAGCAGGAAAAACAGGGAACGCGTTGAAAGTGACGAAAATGGTGGAGAAAGATCTCCGTTTCGGATGTTGCGATGTGCGTGACCAGCTTGAGTTGCTCGGGACATGACACCATGTCAAAAGTTGCCACGAAAAAGTTGGAATCATATGCCTCCGAGCCGAGTGGGCACCCACGAGACACGGATGTGACCGTACAAGCCACACTAGACGCCAATATAGCTTGAACCGTGCTTGCCGCCACTCCATTGACCAAAATCCGGACTTGGTATTGCAATTGGTGTCTACCGCTTGACGTGGCTAATAGCGAAGGAGCAGTAATGTCTTCGCGCTCCATAGTGGCCGGGCACAACAGCTTAAGACGCTTTCCGCGAAACAAAATCATCTTTGCATGCCAGCTTGCTGCTGCCGCTTGATCCGGCATAATGAAAGTCAGTCGCCTCGTTTCGGCATCGTAACTGGTCCGCTTGGCGCCCTTGACCAATTCCCGACTCATGACATCGGACTCCGTCTGCCCCTCACTGCGTTCCAAGAGCTGGAGAAGCAACGTTTTCTCGGCGATGTACTGAGGCATGCGCACGTACGGAGGGACAATCGCAATGACCTTCCCTTCCAGGTACTCTTCGAAAAAATCAAGCATTACAACTCGCGTAGCCCTCGGGTGCGTGCACACCAAAAATCCAGGCGGAGACTGGAGCATGATAGCCCCCATCATCCATGCCGCTAGAGCCTCCTCTTCAAGCGGAATCATCGAACGGAGATCATCGTCTGATCTGTCGGTCCACACTCTCGTAGCCGCCCGCACCAGCACCCGGGTGTGGTCAGCAGATGAGCGCTGACTCCCATCCTCTTTGGAGTCAGCGAAAAGTCCTGGACCCTGCCCGTCTACCGTGTCGGCCCTTCCCTGCTCTGTTGCAGCTCTCACCGGTCCCGAGCCCGCAGACACCAACAAGTGAGGCTCATACGCCGACCCGAGATTTCGAGATCGAGCCACAACGTCACAGGAAAAAGCTCCCGCGATAGGAGAGGACCCGACCCGCGGTCCTTTCCCCCTGTGCACCCCGTTCTGTAGCCACTGGATACTGACTATCTCCGTCAAGGAAGGAGTCAGCCACTGCGGCCGCGTACGAACGCCGATCAGTACGGGTCCCACAAATAGGCGCAGTAGTTGGGGGGCCGAGGCCGCCTGTCCAAGCTCGGGATTGGTCAGAATTCCCGTGCCCATCCCCTATCGTCTCGTCTTGCCCCGTCTTTTCCACTCCTATTGGCACGCTCTCGCCCGACACGGGCGTGGGCACACTCGAGCCACCTACCTCGTCATCACTCCATGCCACTCGCGTACGGTGCCCGGTTCCTCCTTCCACATGTGCGCCGTTTTCGAAGTCACCGCGCTCTTGGGTCGGCGAGGGCTTATTACTAGGCGCTAATTCGCCGATGTATGCGTGCATACTGCGTTGACACACTCCCCGGTGCCACAACGATTTGATTGCGTGATTGGCCGCAAATCTGGAAGTGGCAGTCCATCCTGTCCTGTCTACATCCTATCGTAACTGCCTTCGATCTTAGACCATAACGTCGCAGTGCTTAGCAATCCACATGTCGAAGAAGTCGACCATCCGCTCTTCGATATCCTGACCCTGCGTCGTTAAAACCAAATATCAATCGATCGCATCAAACGCTCAACCTATGCTTTGTACCACAAAGGAGATTGTAATCAGTGAAAATCGCATCGATTTTCTTCTCAACCTCTTTCACCACAGTTGTCTATCGAAGCCAGACGATGACGTCGACATGCTTATGACTGTATTCTGCTCGATCACATTGTCTCTACGAGCTCTGCTGGCAGGTTTCCGTTATTTAAAATGACAGGCTCGATCATCAGGCCCAACAAAAAGCTGTACATATTTAATCATGTGCATAACGATCTACGTGATGTGGGGCCATGGAGCACCAGCCTCCAGCTGTCCAGCTGGACAATGCTGTCTTACCTGACTTCGAAGCTGCTGAGCGTTGGATTGAAATCGTACAGGACCGAGCTCCTTCAAGATGAAGTAATGGGTATATGAAGAACACTATTATAGCGCTCGTGATCTGCCAGCTTGCTAGACAAGGCATTCAAGCTGGAAGCAATGAAGTCCTTCCCTTGTCCACCTCCGTAAAAAGTAATACGTTTCAACGTTTGCATACAATGGCGATGTTGTTCGATTAACCATTCCAATAACTCCTTGGTATGCATGAGCCACCTTGCCCCCCTCCCAGCTACTCGTAGCTCGTAACAAACGTCTATGATAAAAGCATGCACAAATTCACCTCTTGGCTTGGTGACGCCGTCATTTTATACCAAACAAAAGTCGTTTGTGAAAGAGTAGAAACGGGGAGGGTGTTGTATTAGTTGTCTGAGGTATTTCGCTGTAAATATCTTTGGCATACCAAGTACTTAGTTTAGTGGTTTATCGCCGCCGGCGAACTCGAATATCACTGTGACTTCTGCTGCTTCTCTGATTGACATGGACCACCCTCCACCCCCTGAATACCGTGAGCCACATAACAGGCGCTCGAGCTTCAGTGGGAGCGACGATGTGCTCATCGTTCGAACCGTGATGGAAAATCTGGATATTTTCTCGTTTATCCAAAGTCAGCGGACCAGAGCGTGGAAGGCCATAACGCAGTGTCTGTGCGATCAAGGGATCACATGCACGACTGAATCGGTTCGCTGCCGGATCAATCGACTCGCTGAGAGGTACCAGGCGGGGTTTGCTGAGGGGCAGGGGCCAGACGGTAAATCGGAGCTTATGTTGTTCTTATGTCAACCCGATATGATTAGTTATATAGATCTGATGTGAGATATGTCGTGGATATGACAGGTGACACCGAGATCACGCCTTTGGAACAGCTCCTGGCACAATACATAGCTGCGAGAAACCAGTTCGAGCGTAGGGGGAATACCTCCTTGCCTGGGATATTGCACGATCAGTCAAGCAATGTACGGACCCGTCAAGTCTCAGATGAGACGCATCGGACTTCAGATGATATGAACGACTCGACCACTGTGTCCGATATGACAACTCCAGATCTTCCAGATGTACCGCTATCAACTACACCCGCATCCGGGCAGGAAGCTCTACAAAGTAGCAAAAAGCCTCGCAAAAGACGGTTTTACTTTGAAAGCGAACACGACGAGATCCTGCTGAAACTCATGCTAGCTGATGAAGGAGTTATCACGGCTTCAGGCGTCAAGCGACCACAGTGGAAGAAAATTGAGGCTGAAGTAAACAGCAGAGGTATGCGCGTAAACACTCACACCATTCGCACCCACCTCCGACTACTGGTTGATGCGTATCGAAAGGAGGAAGGCGTGGGTTACATCGAACCAGACAAAATGTCGGAGAAGCAAAGACTGCTGAGCGAATACTGCAGAAAGCTGGATGATACCAAGCAATCAGCTTCCAGTAGCAATGAAAACCAGTTTCTTCGTCTAACCCAAGGAAATGAATGTGAGCGGTGCCGTGATCCCAGTAATGAGAGCAGATGGCGTTCGAAACCGGCTGTGTTTCCAGCCACGTCAGAGCCGCTTTCTCGAGCTCAAGTACCGACACTTAGCGGCAGTGGGGCGAGTTTCGAGGACTTTCCTGCTACTGTTCATGTTCCAGAAACGGCTCCAACCTCTACCCCTGACCATCTAGCGACATCGACAAATGTCGCCGACGACACGACGACCCTCAGACCTGAGACAGCTATACTTCATCCGATCTCTATGTCGACCAGCACTGCAGATCGCGTGTCACCGGGCGTCGCTTCAGTTTCTACAGCCGATTGCCCCAGCTCCTTCAGCGATTCTTCGGCACGGCCTGAAGAAACCTCATGTATCGAAGCCGGTGAACCCGCATCAAAGAAGCGAAAGGTGAGACTTGACACGGTCTTAGACCGTTTCATATCGATGCAGCGTGACCACTACAGAGAACAACGTGAGTACGAGAGGGCCGTCACCAGTGAACAGCGGACCCTGCAGAGGCAAACGATTGAACTGCAAACGCGAGCGCTGGATATTCAAGAGAAATCGATGGGTATGCAAGAGAGGTTGATGGCTATGATGGAAAAGGTCATGGATAAGCTCAACTAATTATTCAGTCTTCCGTATGCCAGCGAGGGAGTTTGTTTGTCAGGTGCTTGCCGCGCACGACGCGACCGTATGATTCTTATGTTCATGAAGTTGCAATCACCTGAGCTGTGGTGGGATGTGATCAGTGCTGTGCCAACACATGTAGTCGGATGAAGCAGTAAACTTATTGCACTTTCTGAGTTGACAAGAGCTTTTTGCTGATGTCAATAGGAGAAAGATCAAACTTGCCGTCGAGAGATCCCTGGCTTGTGCGAATAGATGTCGACAGTCAAGCCCTACAGGGTCGCACAAAACCAGGAATTTAAGCGATGATCAATTTGTAGATGAACACTTGTTTGATGCAGCCGCCACAAATACTGCAGATGTTGGATCGCCACATTCTTCGAAACGTAGAAAATAGCAGAGATCCACCTGATGTACAGTGAGTGATGAAGGCGTTTCTGGTTTTTTCATTCCTATTACTTAAGCGTCGAGCGGAAAAGTGCTCGACATCTTATGACAGTTGACACATTACCGAATTTCTGCCAGCAAGTATACCTCGGTCAGAGAAAACAACAGTCTCGGTTGCCGACTTCACTAGAAAAAGCACTAGCATTACTCGCGCCAACACAAAATCTGGTGCCATCTACAAGACGGTCGCAGCTTCATACTGAACGTGATCATCTACGACGGAGTAATAAAGGATAAGCCAGATTCCATGTCGACAGTATCTCGCAATAAAAATTGTGCTACAACTAACTAAAACTACATCGTTCATACCGCCTAAAACGCATTTACTCAATGGCGCTCACTCTCTGGTAGATCTTCAAGAAGCGACTCCTGCTTGAGCCACTGGAGGGTACAAAACTTACCTAGACCAAAAAGTTGGAGTCGATCGTGTCCATACTGATCGCGGTAGTGCTCGAAAAGCCACTGCAATATCTCTAATTCGTCTGCGGTTGTTGCATTGACAAACGCCTTCGACGTGCAACCTTCTGACCGTGCACTTCGCAAATATAAGAGGACTTCAAAGTGGCCATTGGAAGCAGCTCGGTCCATTGCAGCACCGGTGCATCCTTCACTTCTGTTTTCGTGCAACCATCGCACAACGTCCAAATGACCTCTGCCTGCTGCACTATCCATCGCCTCAGTTGTGCAGCCTTCTGCTCGATTCTTGTGAAGCCACTGCACAACGTCTAGCTGGCCGCCACTAGCAGCGCGATCCATTGCGTTGAACGTACAGCCCTCCTTCCGGTGGCTGTGGAGCCACTGAACTACGTGCAAATGACCGTGCGCTGCGGCTTCATCCATTGCATCACTCGTACAGCCTTCCTTACGATGACCGTGAAGCCACTGCACCATGTCCAGATGGCCGTTGCGGGCCGCGAGACTCATGGCTGCAACCGTACATCCCTCCCTTCGGTTCTTGTGCAACCATTGTACAACCATGAGGTGATTTGCACGTGCCGCACCATCCATCGCTGCAGTCGTGCATCCCTCATTCTGGTGTTGATGCAGCCACTCCACTACCACCAGGTGTCCGTTCATAGCAGCTCCGTCCATCGCACTCTGCGAGCATCCCTCGTTTCGGTTCGCGTATAAATACCTAACAATAGCAAGATGGCCATTCGTCGCTGCCTCGTCCATTGCTGTCGTAGTGCATCCTTCACGCCGATGCAAATGAAGCCACTTCACAATATCGAAATGACCGTTAGCAGCAGCCAAGTCCATTGCTACTGTCGTGCATCCCTCTTGTCGAGTCTCTTGCAGCCACTTGACAATCTCGAGATGTCCGTTCCCTGCTGCTTTATCCATCGCCGTTGAAGTGGCGTAGCCAGCATTACCCTGCAGCCACTTCAGCACATCCAAGTGACCATTTGCAGCGGCGTCGTCCATCGATGCCGACGGCGAGGAACAAAACATGTTGCTCCTCAGCCACCGCAGCACGTCCAAATGTCCTCCACTTGCTGCTAACACGGCTGCATATGGTGACCACTCTCCCCGGACGTCACAGAGCCACTTGACCATATCCAGGTTGCCATTCCTTGCAGCTTCCTCTAGCGTGACGAAAAACATGTGTGTCGGCATTGGGTTCGTGTGTTCCTGGAGCCATTGGACCACATGCAAGTGGCCATTTTGACCAGCATAAAAGAGCTCTTTCGCTCCCCAAAACACGTTCAACGAGCGTTCACCCAGCCTTCCGTCCCCATTGTCTCGTCTGCTGTTGCTGTTCTCGTGGAGCCACTGCAACACCTTCAAATGTCCGAATTTCGCTGCTGCTTCCACTGCGAGCGTCACGTAGCAGCTTGGAAATTGAGCGACAAGCCACTTCATGACTGGCAAGTCCCCTCTCGCAGCTGCACGAGCCATGCCACACGTAAACTGTCGTTGTCGAAAAAATGGGTCTTTCTTTTCATAAATTAGCAACTTGGCCGACGCGTATTTTCCTCCATTTGCCGTCCAGATTTGTGATTTTTCAGCAGTAGACAAAAGGGTTTGAGCACGTGCGACCAGTACAGCGTCACGCCTGGCGACACGCTGGACGAGACGGAGGGCGCTGTCAATGTGACTGGCAAAGCCGCAGGCGTTCGGGAGTGTCCAGTGCACCGAGTGATCGAGAAAAGTGCTTATGATGGCATTAATGTGGGACAAGGCGGCAATGCGCTGATGTGTGCGGCTGACGACCGCCGCAGAGGTTAGGGGAACCTCACACACGGTCATACGAGGGGGTGTGTCGCACGGCGGAAAATCGAAAGTGAGGGAGATGGGACCGACCGACGGGACGTCGTCGCCTTTTGTGATCTTTTGTGGGCGAGAAAAACGCTTTTTTTTGGTATGACCGTCTTTGTGGAGGAAGTGAGTTGGATTGTGGTATGTATGTTGTGGAGAGCCCAGATATGACAGATCAGAATGTGTTTTGGACGAGGTGGAGGGGTACAGTCGATGCTGTTTGCCCGGCATGAACATGTTACTCGAAAATCTGCATCGGATCTAGTTGTGGTAACTTTCTATTGGTCGAAACGCGAGGACCGTCGCGGTTGAGCAAACACCACTTATCGACGAACTGATAGACTGTAACCCTCAGCGGTTGACCGTAACCTTTTGCCTGTATGACGTTGATGATTGATACGTCATCAGTAACTGATACGAGCAAGAGAGTCGATGACGAATCTGATATTTTAACTCAGGAGCCCACAGTAAGAGCTACAGAATTCGTGTTCATTCCTCAGCCAGAACTTCCCTTTCAGCTGTAACATGCAGTAAAGGCTTTGAAAAAGAATGAAAGCACGCAGAAAGCGAGTATCTGGTAAGTAAGCGAAAGACAAACTTCTGCACCTTTTGCGATTGGCACCGACGTCTCTTGTCCCAAGAAGTCGACCCTCGATGAACAGACCAAACGAATCCAATGATGACGATACTTGGCCCGTCCATGCGGGTGGTACCAGCTGCTTCTACGGAAACTTCAGATTCAGAGCTTTCTGAAGAAAAAGGATCTGCGCAATGAATGGCATTGCGTTTTACTGCACTGCACTGAATTAGTGCACGTACAAAAAATATAAAACAGATTTAAGGCATGAAGGCCAGCTGTAAAGCAAATACTGTTTTATGGGTGGCCTTCAAGCTTTAAAGCTATTTCATGGACCTGCAAACAGACATGTAGTTCAAATGCTGATGCTGCGCATGCCTCCAAATTATATAGAGTCTGGCACATTGCGAGATGTCACTCGATGCTTCGGTTACGGAGAAGAGCCAAGGTCATGGAGAAACGATTAAAATACGGGGCGCATGCATACATCGCGTGCATCGAAATTTGCTCGCGTGTGCGCGTCTCGGTTACGTTGCCCGTTCGCATACATTGTGACTGTTACAGTATCTTAATACGCATTCGCTCAGTGCATGATTCGGCCACAAAATGCTGTTCGAAAACACAAAACACGCACCTCCCTGCTCAATCGACTATAGCACATTGCTGGACTATCGTCACTTTGCGGCACATGTTATTCGGCAACTTCTCCATCAATTTCTCGTGTCCAGCGTATGTGTTACCCCACACTACAGATAGTTGAGAGCTTTGGCACACAGCGCATCGATTGTCACGTGAAGCACGGGCAGACAAGCCCTCCATATTTCTGCTGGTCAGGATCGTACTTGGCAGCCAATTTCAATTTCATGGACATCATATCCAGCATTCATGCCTGCATGTTTCGACATGCTATCAAACACAAACAGCTGTGATGTCGAACAGTCCTTACGTTGAGCACGACGCAAGTAGTCGTCCTAGTCGGTGGTCGCTCAGCAACGTCTCCATAAGCTGCTTTAGCGCACGATTCGTATGGAGCTGTGACTTCGTCAGTGGTGCACGTGTCAAGGGATCAAAACATCCATTCACTTCAAGGTGCTGTTCAATCATTGATCGTTCATACGTATTGCCGTCAGGTGTGGTAACCGGATCATCCATCAGTTCCAAGCTCAGTGGACAATGGAACACTTCCACCATCTGTGCTAGTGTTTTCGAGGCATCTTTACCTGCTGCCAATTCCTGCTCCTCACGGACACTATTACCATCAATCAGTGCAGCTTCGTCCCCGTTCTCCTCGACAGAAAGCAAAATGTCGTAGACTCCTTGACGTAGCAGCCCCACCACCTTCATCTCCATAAGGATAGATCGTTTCAATACTGTAGCAGTCATGGGTACACCAGCCGCTGACGATCGTGAGCTCACAGCAGCTGCCGATGCTACGCTTGCACGGTCAAATGCCCTTTCTAGCAATTGAAAAGCTTCATCGTACATCTTATGAGATCGACGACACTTGCCTTTCCAAAGTAAAATAGCAGCCTCACCCTCGACCGACACATTGGTGATGTCTTGTGCTATGCTCAAGTACTGCCACGCATTCTCTATTTCATCCAGCACAAAGAAACACTTGGCGCATGACACATAAGCACGAACACGTTGACGGGTTGTCTCGGAGTCTTCTACGCTGCAGTCTTCAAATGGCGAAGAAGCAATGGTCGAAGTACACGTTGCAGCCTCCCGGTAACATACAATCGCAGCTTGAAAATCTCGGCGGACGAACAGGTCATCGCCCTTTGAAAGCTGGTGGCGCATGAAAAAAGGGTTCTCAGGTGACGTCGCGATCTCAATTGCCTGAATTTGCAGTTCCGGCGATGAGCTTGCCATGACCGCAAGATAGTTCGCGTTTTCCTCCCACAAGTGTGCAAGTCCGTGAAAAATAGCAGCTTTATCGCCACCTAGTGCTTGAATGGCTTGAAAGTCCGGGGCCACTAGGTCGAATCTTCGAAGACGCAAATTTGCCGTCATGCGGTACGCAAAGCACTTGACATGTTCAGTGTTGTCGGGCAGATCATCTAGGGCAAGGGTAAGCTGCTCGACTGCTGCGGGGTATTGCTTGGCAAAGAACGCTTCTACGCCTCGTTCCATTGGCGATTGTTGCGCCGGAGCAATACGCCAAGCACACCACATCGCTCCTCCTTCCTCTGCCGGTGTTTCGCTACCCCCATCTGGCGCAGTTCGCGTGAGTACGTGACGTCTCTTACTGTCCATCACATCTGCTGTCGGTGCGTACAAAAACTCGCGCTGATACGGATTGTACAATGCAAACACATCTCTCTCCTCGATACTCAGTGCGACAAGCTGCCACTTTCCCGCTTGTCCAGGCAATTCAGCCGTTTTTCTCCACGTAAACACGCGACTTCTCGTCTTCCCACGTCCATCTTTTTTTAACTTCGCATAATCTGCAGCATACAGATACTCTTCGAACCGTACACTTTGCACCAAGAACGTATCAGCATGCACGTCCGAGGGGATCAACCGCCACTGTGCTTTGGTCCGATCTTTCTCCGCTGGCCACGGAGCGACCACGTGCTCTGTCTCGTCTCCCACCCAGCACAACGCATGGCGTCGGTCGTTATCAAATGTTCCAGCGTCACCAGGAGCATACAAGAGCTCTTCTTTGCTGGCATCACCAACACAATACTCACTACGTCCAGTTCTTGACAAGATCTTGAGCTCCACCGGCTGTCCACAGGCCACCGCCCGCAGCGTGGGACTCACCCACGCGTACCAATAGCTCTCCGCTCTCACCCGGGCACTGCCTTCCAAGTGGCTCATGAGTTTCAACAGGAAAAACGCTAGCGGAAGCTGCGGGAACTTGCGTTGTCTGGCTTCCAGAGCTCGGAGAGCGTCTCCGCCTCCGTCCGCGCTGCTGCTAGGCGCCCGCAACGCGCAGCTCACGCTCTGCAGCACGGCACATCCATCCAGAGTCCAGTGCCAATTGGGCAGCGCCTCCAGGAACGTCAGTAACACAGGAACATCAAACGATCCAGCCGCATAGAAGTCCCGAAGGGTGGCCTCGAGATACACTTTACAGCGCGAATCCAGCTCGGGGAGACGCAGAAAGCTCAAGCGCGCACGGTCCGGCTCTTTGCGGAGAAGATGCGCGCGCGTCTCGGCCAGTAGGGGCTCGACATTCGACGCAAGACGCGCTGCCGCGACGTCGTAAGAGGCCAGCTCCATGGTGACGCTTTGGTTCTGAGAAGATGATTGGGAGTCGGGCTGGAAAACCTACGAAAGAGAATAAAAGGAGTACCGACTTCAGAGCGTTTATCGGAGACTGGGATGCGATAAGGCGACTGACGAACGACTTTTTCGATGACGTTCTTTAGCTGTACAGGTCGTTCGGAGCACTTTTTATTCAAGCGTTCGGTTACTTACGCCTTGTGTCAGGAAGAGACTGTGGACAGCACAACCACGTAGAGGAATCCGTCGGCGTATAAAAGGTTGCGGTAGAGCTCGACGATGGATACGTCGAGCGGGACAGAGATACCGTGCACAACGATCTGGAAGGGGGCTGGCGGTGTATTCGATACCGCGTCGGGAAACAGATCCGGCAGTAAATACTGCAGCACTTCCCGCAGTGTTTTTTCTCGACCTAACGACGACGTCATAGCCGGTTGTTAGTAACGCAAGCACCTTGTTCGAGACGATCCAAGGCGAACAACAACACGATTAACTACGCACCACTTTCTAATGGCGCAATAGGCATTTGGATCACAGGCGTACTGTCAAGGTGCACCCTTACTGGCAAATGCCGCAGCTTGGAAGCGTCTTCTCCTCCGTCTAAATGCAAGTCGATTGTGGCTTCTTGATAACGCTCAAAGTCACCTGTCAACAACAAAAACACTTCACCGTTATGTCTCCCGTTCTCTTTTCCAAAGGATACGACACCTCGTACTTTGCAATAGACTAGTCCAGATCTGCGTCTGCTTTGCTTCCGGTAACGACATCACAGCTTTTGTGGACCCCATCCGCAGAAACGTGGCCTGCTTCAGACTGTGCATAAAATGCGACTCAATGCTCTGCTCGTTGTCACACGGCAGCAACACGTCAACAGGAAATCCCAGAAAGTGGACAGTCAGAGCCCAAGGCAAGTCTGTGTCATCCTCAGCTCCAGGACCGCAGAGCAGATCTCGAAGTAGTCCGAACGGCATATGCCAATGCAGCGGGACCCCTTTGGCCTCGAACCAGATGCCACCTTGAATACCGGACAAAAGAGGTGCTGCGTCCTGGAAATACTCGACGACGTCTCGGGTTTGGGACACCAGATAGCTCATACGGGGTACCATGGCCTGCGTCACGAACAGATCATAACGATGATGACAATAATAATAATAATAATAATAATAATAATAATAATAATAATAATAATAATAATAATAATAATAATAATAATAATAATAATAATAATAATAAACACAATTGTAATTTGTCAGTCTTTAACACGGCCATTTTTTTTCGTATCAGCAAACGAAGCAACACACACGTAGAACGGACGAGGCGCATGGAGAGTAGTGACTTCATTTGGGTCAAGACTGAAGACGACAGGGATACGGCCGGCCCACACGCGCTGCTTCAGCAGAGTCTCAGATGCTGAGGGTGTTATTGGCATGATGTCGTAATGGGACCCGTAAGCTCACGCTAAGGTGTTTGATTGCAGCAACTTTATGTGGTCTGGTTACGACATAGCGGAATGGCAAAACATAGCCTCTGGTCATCATACCGTAACTAGAAGTAGCTAAATTAAGTTCCACTTCATACAAAATTTTACATTTAGAAACTTGTCAGCTCGCTCATTGTATTCCCATGTGCATCGACGACACTAGCATAGGATGTCGCAAGGTGCGACAGTAACGACATACATGACGTATTGCGGATGTCATTCTAAAAATCCACTCTTAAGTGCGTCAATCGCGCACCGTATTACGATTCCATGATGTAGACGATCAGAAGGTACGTCTGGAAAATATACGGGACACCCTCGTGCTTTCTAGTATGCAGTGTTCATGACATATGCCCGACAGCTCCCTTAGCTCCTTGAATGCCTAGCAGTACCATCATATACACTACAAGCACTTGTACCATCGCACTGGCCAATTACACTCATGCATGCCGTCAATCGTATGATCTACATTGCTGACCTAGTTAGACACGAAAAAGGGTGTCGTGGCGTTGTAAGACAGTGAACGACATTTACAATCTGGCTCCGTCGTCAAGCGTATCTTCACAGTAATCCTTCGCGTGGTCGCGACTTGTCGAATGGAATCGTCACTGGCCACCGGAAGCTCATTTCCAAACCTCCTTCGACACACTAAATCGGCCAAGCTTTCCAATGGTCTCGCTATCTCACCTGACGGTCTTCACTGTTGCCTTTATACTTGCTGGAGGTATGGGCGACGCCAAGAAGCTCCCAACCGGTGTTTGCTATGCTCCGTGGCACCACGCCATAGTCAACTCGCAAGTTCTCGCCGAGGACATGTTACAGGTTGCTCAGCACTTCTCCAGTATCCGCACGTACCAGGCGCAGTTCAATGACGTGAACGCCATAGTCATGGCAGCTTCAGCCAACCTTAGCATCGCAGTTGGCGTACAACTGACGGATCCCCGGTGGATTGAAGCCGAGATCAAGGCTGTTTGCGACGGCTATGCCTTACACCCTTCGGCCGTTGAGGCTGTCTACGTTGGCAACGAAAACCTCAAGAACGGGATGGCGGACACATACGCGGTTCGGCAGCTTGTCGACTACATTCGTCGGGTCAAAAGCTGTGTAGGCAATACACCGGTGGGCACGTCTCAGCGTATCAACGAGTGGGTGAGCCCTGAATTTGCCTCGATGTTGGCAGGCGCATGCGATGTCATCGGTGTCAACATTCATCCGTTTTTCACATTCGGTCCTCAATCTTCCATTCAGAAGTTGCAAGCCCAGTGGGGCCAAATGGTGTCGAAGTACGATCCGAAAAAGGTCCGACTGACGGAGACGGGCTGGCCCTACGCTGGTGAAGCCTATAAGAGTGGACCCTCTGATTGTAATGTCCCGTCGACTGAAGGCATGACACAGTACTTTCACGATTACGTCAACCAGTGGCGCCCTGGCACGAGCCAGTCGTATTGGTTCATGATGTACGACACGACGACGAGCTACACTGGCGCAGAATACGAGAAACACTTTGGACTTTTTGGCATCGACAGGTCGCCGCACATCGCGATGCCGTGATTTCGGAGTGAACGTATGTGTGGATGCATGCATGTTAGACTACTGCAGGACGTCAAAAAGCACGTAGCGTTTATAGTTGAGGTCGATAGCTGGATGATCATGCAGAGGCAACAAGTCCCTCAGTGCTTAAATGATCACGTACATTTTGAGTAACTCCAAATGCTCTCGTTTTGTCATTAGATATAAAAGAGCTCACGTTTTGTTTGATCAGAATAACCCTGCACTACGCCACTCACGCTCTGCCATACTGACTATAATATGTACTTGTGCGCCGACGCTATTTATCATTAATCAGTGGTAGGTACACTGCCGAGCTCATTGGCCGTCAAAATGTAGACGTCGCTCGGTACGAAATCGATGTTCTGCCTCGTTGTCGAAGAGTAGCAAGCAAGAGTAAATCACGAAGATTTACTCGTCAATCTCTTGCATATGATCTGGCGGTTACTCCTTTCAAGTAAAGTACATCTCGTGTCAGCTGTCATATTATATTTTGTTTACATTAGCTCCCATTAAGACCGGCGTCGATAGTAGAGGCCTTTGTGTCGTTCGCTTCCAAATCTGTGTCGATCAGTGATAACAAAACGATTTGCGATTCAACCCACACATCGAGAGAACAACTCTGAGAAATCTATGTGATTTTATGTTGCTAAGTGATTTCTCCTGCGTGATCGCAGAATGCATTGCGTGCACGCCATATCCTCTGACATGTTCATGTTTTCTTAAGAGAAATGCATGCACTGTAACGGGGTGAATCGTTACATAACAATTTATAAGAAATTGTTAATAGAATATAACTATAAGAGTTATATTCTCAGAATATTGTCATAAGGACAATATTCTGTAGCACTTCCAAGTAGTTCCTAATTGGTTGATATAGGCCATTATATCAACCAACGAAGACGCGCCACGACAGACGCACGCAATGAGTGGTGAGCAGATAACTGATTTACACATTTGTATTTAGACATAGTTAGATGAAGATAAATAGTGATTTATTGCAGACATTAACTATTATAAATACAGTTCTACTTTTACTCTAACCAAGTACTCGCTTCTTCTTACCGTCTTCCTCTGCACGTACGAGTGTACGTGAAGTTACGAGGCACCGCCTTATTCTGTTATCAGAATAAGTAGCTTGTACTGTCACCAGTACAAGCTTCAGGGTGCCCCGTTACACCTGGTAGCACTTCGTAGTCCGTCCAAGGACCGCGTTCACATCCAACATGAATATGTTGGATGATGAAGATGACCAAAGCTTTCACGCTACGCGTGACGGCTACTCCCATTTGAGCGATGTCGAATGGGATGCGGTTGAACGAATGGGTTCAACCATGGGCATCCATGCTGTTAGCGTCATGCTAGAGGCTCTCAATAGAGATGCCCAACATGCTACTATCGCCAAGTTCATTCAAAATGAACTTGACGCAGAACGCGAGAAAGTAGCCTTGCTTCACCAACAAGGTTCTCAACAAGCAGAGTTGTTGAGAGAACAAGGTGCTCAACAGTTTGAACTGTTGAGACAGCAGCAGGCTGCTGCTGGCGGGTCGATGCACTCGCGTCGGCCCGAGACTTTGAAGATTGACATCTCAAAGTATAGGGGGTCGAAGAAGACTCCCTCTTGAGATGGTTCGTCGAATTGGATGACGCCATAAGGGCGCGTCGCATCGACGACGGGGATATGCAAGTTGCATTTGCCCAGTCAAATCTGGCAGGACGTGCCAAGACTTGGGCACTGGGGCTCAAGCTGCACGACCCATACGCGTTTGGGTCGTTGGAAGTCTTCAAGTCGCGGCTCAGACAAACGTTTGAACCGCCTAGAGCTGAGTTCAGAGCTCGAACCGAACTCTTGAAGCTCAAGCAGGGTAAGCGTGATGTGCACGCTTACGCTCAACATATACGACATCTCACGAGTTGTATAAGTTCCAATCCGGTGGATGAACACACGTTGGTTTCGGTGTTCATGCAGGGTCTTGCGGATGGTCCCGTCAAGACTCACCTGTTCCGGCTTGAACTAGATTCACTAGAACAAGCCATTTCAATTGCGGAGCAGGAAGACTTCAGTCTGAGACAGGCTCGCGCCAGCTCGACATCATATCGTCAACCGAGACGATATGACAACGGAGGTCCAGAGCCGATGGAACTCTGTTATGTAGAGAGCGAGAAGGCTCGCTCTACAGGCTACAAGAAGTTGCAGAGATGCAACAGATGTCAAAAGACAGGACACTACGCTTACGAGTGTAGTGCCCCTCGTCCAGTGTCTCGCGACACTGGGCGTAGTGACCGTCCACCCATGAGAAAGGGGCAGGGACGAGGGTCCGCTGTTGGTGCAAAGACGCAACAACGGGATGGACCGTCAAAAAACGGACAGGATCAGTAGGTGCGGAGCACCCAACTGGTCCAGCAACGTCAAGAGAATTTGTAGGCCTCTTGATGAAGGTTGCTCCCAACACACAGACATTGTGCGTTGCTGCTCTAGGTAATGAGATCTCACTCATTACCTTGAAACTCGAAGTGACGAATAAGTTGTCCCTTCGAGCTCTAGTCGATTGTGGGGCGTCCAACAATTTTGTGCGACGCCAATCGCTAGAAGACGGTCACTTTAAATTCAGTGAATGTGACACACCTCCTACGAGGATGACGGTACGTCTTGCGACAGGCGCATCCGTAACCGTCATGAAGCGTATAGTGAAGATTCACTATACGCTAGAAGATACCCAATATGACGATGACTTTATCGTATTGGATTTGGATGACAAATTTGATGTCATCCTTGGAATACCGTGGCTCAGAAGGTACGAACCACGGGTAAACTGGCAACATCGGACAGTAACGATGCCTGCCGCTTGTTCATCAGATGGCCATCTGATGAACGTTTTGGAGCGTCCACAAGCGTGTAGATGTACTACGAGTGAGTGCGATGGCCTCACTTGTGGTACGGTCGTTAGTACGACTGCACAAAACCTTAGTGTACCAAACGGTTACACTTCGGAGCAAAGTTCCGGCGGCTGTGAGGAAACACAGGCTGCGCCGAAGGTCCACCACTCGAATAAGTCGGGTGGACTGGGACAAAGATGTATCCCTAGAGGGGAACATCTAGAAGAGAAACAATCGATCGCTCAGGTTAAGTGAAACGATAATCCTAGATCGACTGGAGAGTCTTTCGTAGAGGATCTCGCTGTGGTTGCGCAACCCCAGCTAGAGGAAGTAAAGGGAATAAGTCCCAAGATTACAAATACGGCGGAAATAAGTTCCCCGAAACCCGCGGGAATAAGTCCCCGGGAAGACGAAGGAATAAGTCCTTCGAAGCCTGAGGGAATAAGTCCCCAGGAAATGACAGAGACATTGAATGTCATAGTCAATAACGGATCATGTGTAGGCGCTTATACACTTGATCTGATTGCGCCTCCGAAGTTAACTTCGGAGATCACTCAGTTGCCAACGCTCGAACATAAAAGATTCTTGCGTGATCTGCGTAGTGGCAAAGTCAAGCAGATCTGCATACTCGTCGCTGACGACGAGTATGTAACCGACATAAGGTCAGCAACAGTGTTTACTGAGAACGAGAGAGTTCTCAGTAGTTCATCTATGGACGAGAGTGTCCTAGATGAAAAGACACGAATTGAGCGATATGAGTCCCAATCATGGGAATCGCTCAAGGAAAATCCTCTCTATGAAGATTTGGTTGAATTCAAGGATGTATTCCCTGAAACTGTTCCGTGCGAATTACCGAAGGATAAAGGTATTCGACACGAAGTCGAGCTTAAACCAGGCTCGAAGTACTGTGTCATGAAGCAGTGGCCACTGCCTCGTGAACAAGTACTTGCGATCGACAAGTTCTTTGCCGATCGTTTAGCAGCGGGCCATGTGAGGGAATCAACTTCCCCACATAGCTCTCCGACCTTCTGTGTGCGAAAAGCAACAGGAGGGTGGCGGATAGTGCACGCGTTTAACAAATTGAACGCTGCAACGGTACCGGCTCAGACGCCGATACCGAGGAAGGACGTAATCATTGATGGTATGTCAAAGAGTACCATCTTTTCGTCCATGGATTTGATGGATGGCTTCTATCAAATCCTAATGCGGGAACAGGATATACCCTATACCGCAGTTAGCACGCCTAGCGGCATGCTCTGGGAATGGCTAGTAATGCCACAAGGGCTCAGTAATGCCCCTGCCACGTTCAACAGGTGTGTATCACATCTGTTGAGGCCAGTACGAGAATTCGCGCCGAGTTATTTCGATGACGTATTCATCCATAGTCGAGCTATGGATGGAAAGTCGGACGTTGAGGTTCACAAGTACCACGTCCGACAAGTTCTTACAATCATGCGAAAGCATCAATTGTATGCAAACCTCAAGAAGTGTATATTTGCAGCAAGCGAAATACCACTTCTTGGGTGCATCGTTGGTAAGAACGGTGTACGTCCTGATCCCGAAAAGATCAAGGCGATCACCGACTGGCCCGTGCCGGTCGATGTCAAAGGTCTTCGAAAATTCCTTGGGCTAGCGGCGTATTTGCATAAGTATTCACGCAATTACGCCGAGATGACTGTACACCTCTCTCGTTTGTTGGAAAAGAACGAGAGGTGGTTATGGAACGCTGAATGTCAACGCTCCTTTGAGGGTATCAAGCAGAGATTGATACAATCCCCAGTCCTAGCAATAGCCGATCAGGACAGGCCATTTCATGTGGTCTGTGATGCCAGCGATTTCGCAATCGGCTGTGCATTAATGCAGTACGACCTTGAAGGCGTTGAACGCGTCGTCTGCTATCAGTCGCGTCAGCTGCAACCAGCTGAGCGGAACTATCCAGTGCATGACAAGGAACTCCTTGCCATGAAGTATGCACTCGCGAAGTTCAGAGTCTATCTATTAGGAGATAGACCCTTCGTTGTTTACACTGACCATGCGTCCTTACGCACGGCAGTGAACAGCCCGCACCTTTCACAACGAATGGCGCGGTGGTTGTCATTCTTTGCAGAATACAACTTTACGGTCGA